GATCGTTTTAAACCTTCCGATTTTTACTATAATCGACAAAACCTGCACATAAAATCTAAACGAACCACAAACCCCCAAAAAAACCACCAACAAACAAAACAAGAAAGACACTACTAATTAATGAAAAAAAAGCACACCAACAATAGACGAAGAAAAGACAGTACAATACAAAAGTAAAAACAAAATAGACGAAAAGAAAAAAAAGTAAAAAAAATAAGTAGCGAAACTAACCAAAACCGAAGAAAATAAGCAATAAATAGACTTTAATTATAGTTGATATGAGTAGAAACGGTATCGAAGCAAAAATAATTATTTGGAGCCTAAAAAATTATAATCGGCATTTTGATAATTTCAGTAATATACACTTATTGTATTACTGAAATTATCAAAACTCCGATCATAATTTTTTAGGCTCCAAATTTTTATTTTCAGGTTTTCCAATTCCTACAATTATCGGCTTCATAAAGGTAAAATTCAATTATAATTCAAGTTTAAATTAACAATTATTAAGCTATTTACCCGCATAATGTAAATTTTAGATATTGCCGACAAATGCAAATACCGATTATATTGGGCTGGTTGAGCTTTTAACAATGGACGATTTAATAATCTAACAATAGGTTAGTTTACGCTTTATTTATTAAACAATGATTTCGCTGGTAAGTGCTTTATGTGAAATTAAATTGCTTTATTTTGGAATTATCATGATTTAAATAATATTTACAGTAAAAATTTTTAGGTTAACCAAAAAAAAAATTTAAAATCGATGAAATTCTCAATTTATCGAAGCACCACTACTTTACCTTATTATTTCATCGTGATTTGTATTATGATTTACATCGTGATTTGTATTATAAATTTTTTTTTTATTATACCTACAGACTGCCCCGAGAAGAATTGGTCGCCGTTGGTAAGTGACTTAAATAAGAATATATTACTTTAATATTGTCATGCTTTGCATAATGCTCTACAGTAAAAATTTTTTATTATACTTACAGACAAACACAGAAAATTTATAGCCGCCAGTAATGTCAAACAAACCCAGAAAATTTGTAGCCGCCGGTAATGTTAGTTTTGCATTGTATTGATCATGATAATATTATTTACTGGAAAAAATTTGATTCCTATACTTACAGACCGACCCGGAATACTTTGGAACTGCCGCTAGGTTATTTTAATAGAAAATGTTAACTTTGTATTGGATTTATTGTGTTATGGTCATTTACTGAATAAAATTCGATTACTATACTTATAGGGCAAAATGGTGCCGCTGGTATGTTATTTTGTTTTCTAGAAAAATGCTGAATCGGGACGAATTTGGAGTTGCTGGCAAGTAATTTTAATAGAACATGTTAGTTTGAATTTGATTTATAGTGGTATGTTATTTACTCTAAAAAATTTGATCAATATACTTACAGAATGACCCGCGAAGAATTTGGTGCTGATTATAATAGAGATTAGT